GAGCGAGCAAGTGTGCACACGATTTCGCTCCGCGCCTTACAAAAGTGAACGGAGGGAGTAATAGAAACCTGAAACAGACCAACTATAAGTGAAAAAAGAAGTGAGACCAAAGGTAGCTTGTAGCTTACTAATAACTACTCATCAATGTGTTAGGTTACATCACACTGAAGTATGACATTTATGGTGCATTGGATACTATTTACTCGACCAATGCAACTCAGTTGACAAAGTGGGAAAGCTGGATGTTAAACGTGGTAATTGACATGTAAGAATGTCGAGGTAGAATCCGTAGCAAATAGGTTACAATGAAACAGAATGCAATGATTGGGTCTTCTACATCTGGAGGTCTCTGGAGATAGAGCCGCCCAGCAACCAGACATACCGTAGCAAATAGGTTACAAAGAAACACAATGCAATGACTACGTTATCTACATCCGAAGGTCTTCCTCTAACTATCTGGTTATTACTTCCATTACGGGAGATTGGCAAGCACACAAAAATACATCTACATAGTCCTCGCTCTAGTAATGGTAGGGAACCGCCACCACATATATCCATGCTATATAAAGGGGGAGAGGTAAATTACCTTGTCGAGAACTAATTGTCAGCCTGGTGCAACTGCCATACATGCCACAGCTAAATAAATCAGCATGGATTATCTATCCAGCTCTCATAAGCACTTGGGTACACGATAGGCAAAATAATTAGCATTAATCAACGTGGGCAAAAACAGGCAGAGGAGATTACAATGAAAAATTATATGAGAGGTTTCCTATGATTATGCCATATACCGAACTCACTCTCTGTGGTGTTTGTCCTGAAGCTCGATCGTTGGCGAATCTCCTTCCATAGAAGAGCACTTGGGGTCTGAGCATTGGTAGTGGGATCCAACAGGTGTAGCAGATTTGTGGCATGCGGCACATAAAATATACTCACCAGCATGGGCCAGAGCCCAGCCAAGTGACAGTCACCGTTCAAAAGAAATGATTATTCCACAGAGTAGGAAATAGCATAAGAAAGTGAAGAGAAATAGAAACAAGTCCATTGAAATAAACACTAACAACAACAACAAATTACAAATGCCGCTGCAACTATTTCCTGATTTGTAACAATGAATAAAATAAATAGGCTTCAGATTAGAAGTAGCGAGTACTTAGAATAGCAAGAGAAATAGGATCATAAGAAATAATCCTGGAATTAAAACCATGTGATGTCTTTATTATAATATCAAGAGAAATAGGTTGATGGGGCTTAGGATATATATATATATATAGGGAAAATGCATCCTACTACCGGGTGTAGCTACACCCATTTCTCATATACTACCATGTGGTAGTATATACTCTATTTTATTATTTTTAGTATGTTTATATACTACATCTAAGATACTCCAAAGTGAGTTATATGAAAAAATTGCAAGTGAGCTCATGGTTTTATTGTATTTATGAAATACGTACATATTTGTACGCGAAATAGAGTATGCACAAAATATGATACATACTACCAAAAAAGTAGTATATATACTACCTAAACATTTTTATATACTACATACTACGTGTACATACTCTCCAATATGATAGATACTACCTAGAACGTATCAAAAAAAAGTGGGAGTAACTACACCCGGTGGTAGGAAAAATTTGTCCTATATATATATATATATATATATATATATATATATAGGGAAAATCCATCCTACCACCCGGTGGTAGTTACCCCACATGTCTCATATACTAGCATGTGGTACTATATATACTATTTTATTATTTTAAATATGTTTATATATTATATCTAAGATATTTCAAAACAAGTTACATGAAAAAATTGCATATGAGCCCATAGTTTTTGTTCTATTTGTGAAATACGTACATATTTGTACGTAAAAAAGAGCATACTCAAAAAATGGTACATACTACCTAAAAATTTGTATATATACTACCTAATCATTGTTATATACTACAGGGAAAATCCATCCTACCACCCGGTGGTAGTTACCCCACATGTCTCATACGCTAATCTAAGCCCGAGCGCAGAATAACTTATCATACGCTCCGGCTGTCTAAACCACGTTCAAACCACTAAAATTAATCACCTTACCATGTCCCAGCCCACCATTTCCACCTCATGGTAATACTTGGTCTTAAATTACTACAAGTCACTATATTTTTACTATCCTAGTCCATTAGTTTATTCCATAGTAAAACTAATTGATTAATTACTACATATGGCAGTACTATTACCATAGTTCAAGACGAGCTATGCTTGCTCGTAATTTGCTTGTTGTGCTTTTATGACATGCAGTAAAGGACTGGCTAGTAATTGGTGATCTGGGCGTCGTACATGCTTCCCCACCTCATGGCTGACCTCGCCTAGGCTAGTTATTCTTTGTTGCATCATGTTTAAATTTCTTTTAAACTTGAAATGGGGATTGAGTAAACCCTAGCAATTAAATCTAATAGGTTCAAATATTTTTTTCAATGAGCCCAAAATGCCCTTCAGAAAAGTTCATGATTTTTGATAAAGGTGAAAACCTCTGCGAAAAATGATGCACATATTTCTAGGTCATTTTTGGATTTTTGAATTAACACAAAATTATTTGAATTGGAGCCATTTAAATGCTATATATATTATCATACATGGACTACTCTCTGAACCTGCATGTGAACCAACATCAAATCGGTAAGACCAATATTTCAGATGGGAGGGTGTGCAATGGAGAAAATTCTGAAACATGAGCATCTGGTCTTGCTACTTACTCTCATTCTGAAAATCAAGACAGTGGAATGTAATCTATACCCTCCTTCTCAAAATATAAGACATTTTTTGATGCTATCATAGTGTCAAAAAATGTCCAACATTTTGGGACGGAGGGAGTATTTCAGTATGAAGGAACCAAGGCTTAAGGCTCTCAACATAGGTAACAATTGACATGCCACAATAGCCAAAACATTCTGACTGGAATCAATACAGTAAGAGAACCCCACCTCAAGTCAAATATCTTAAATATAGACACCCTTTTTTAGTGATGGCTACCAGCTGCAAAACGAGTGAGGCAAGAAGAATGCACGAGAAAACTCACCACACCAAAAGGGCGACACCACTGGCATTAATCTGGGCCCGGTGGATGCCGAGGGGTGATCCTGTAGTCGTCTATGGTGTGCTCGTTGGTGCTGCTGATTTGAGGAAGAGATAACGATGCGCAGCACCAGCCACCGCCGCTCTGTTCCGTTTGCCGTCACCGCCGGCGACGCCACATGGCTCGAGGCCCTATCACGGTCGCAAGGGAGGAGACGAGGATAGAAACTGGAGAGGTGAGTGGATGATGGCGACGGCGGCTGGGCTCCGTACGTACCAGGCTCGCAGGGGAGGGCGTGGAGGAAAGGAGGTGGAGCGGCAATGACGACGGCGGCGATGTGGCAGGGAGACGAGGCGGCTGCTACGCGAGGAGGGATGGGAAAGGGGGGAGGGGAGAGGCGCTGCGCTAGGTTTTTACCACCCACCCCGCACGTCCCATTCTTCGCGTACCAAGAGCCGAAAAAACCCATCTTATTTTCTGGAGACCACGTATAAGGAGCCCACCCGTCATCAGCCCCTGGATGCTGCACATGCGTCGTCGAAGGATTTGAAATTTTAACGGCGTAGGGATCGTAAGGCAGTTAAACCGTTCAATAGTGAAAATATCGAACGGTTCAATTCATCCCATCGCGCGAAGGCCTCCAGAATGGCGGGTAGCCAGCAATCTTTCCTAGTTAGATAGGAGGCCTTGATCCCACTAGGGGAGATAAGATGAGCAAAGCTCTCTCAGTTATAGTTAAAAGGCACTGGAAACTAGACTTGGTTATGAACACCCTGCAGGATTGCCTCAAGTCTGGTTGCTACAGCTGAGAGAATCGAGTGGACCTATAGGTGTGCGCGGGATAGCAACGGTGAGTAACAACCTATGTTCTGATGCTTGTGAGGTCAAGGGACCGAAGTGATAAACGAAATCAGTGTTAGGTAGAGATAACCGAAGACACACGGGGATGAATATGTATCCATTTACTTCCTTGGAGGGAAGCTAGTCACTGTTGGAGAGGTGCGAAACCACAAAACCTTCCTACACAATGAGGGCGATGTCCAACCACTCGCGGTAGACCTTGAGACGGCCTCCAAACCTTTACAAACAATTGGGTAATTCACAACCTCACCGGTGCTCCTACCGCCTAGGAATCTCCAACCTCTTATATGTTCCACCATTCCATGCTAATGCTATTCTCTTCGTGAAGGGCTAATAACTGGTTCATTCAAAAGCCAACTTTGTTTGATCTAAGAAATTGTCTTGCTGGATTATTGTTCTTTTGGCTTAATTGCTTGCTGAAAGTTGATATTTTTCTTGTTGTTTGGCGTTGTTGATATAGTCTCATTTATCCAAATTTCGAAGGTGAACTTAAGCTGCAGTATTTTAAAATATTGATATTATCTCCATATGGTTAATGGTCAAGAAGAATGAACACTCCAGTTTAAAAAGGATGGAAAGAAATTTGCATTTCCCTTCCCATCATTACTCCTTTATCTGTCGATCAAAATAGCTCAAGGGTTCTTTCCTGAGCACAGGAACTATGATACTGAGCCTTGTTAACTACTACTACCTCAGTTCCATAATTCTTGTCGTGGTTTTAGTTCAAACTAAAACCACAAGAAGAATTATGGAATGGAGTAGTATATATATATTTTTTTGAAGGGGAGCCTTGGCGCAGTGGTAAAGCTGCTGCCTTGTGACCATGAGGTCACGGGTTCAAGTCCTGGAAACAGCCTCTTACAGAAATGTAGGGAAAGGCTGCGTACTATAGACCCAAAGTGGTCGGACCCTTCCCCGACCCTGCGCAAGCGGGAGCTACATGCACCGGGCTGCCCTTTTTTTTAGTAGTATTTTTTGTTTGCACTATGTTGTAGCACCATTATCCGTTTGTTCTGCAATGGTGACATGTTTTTTTTCTCATTTACATTATCAATGCTACCAGGAAATGGAGGCAACTTGTTATGTCACTGTGGATGATAATCATTATGCTTATTTTGATCAAGTGGACAAGCTAAGTAACTATGGCGCTCACAACAATGAGACTTTGTCAAGTCTGCTTTGGGCTTTCTTCCATTATTGGGCATACCAGCATGATTACACACAAGATGTTATATCAATTCGTACGGGAAAGATCATTAGGTAATGTTGCATACTTGCTCAACCACCCGTCCATTCCCACATTTATCGGTGCTGAGCTTTTGTTCCTTCCCTGGCCCCTTTCTTTATCTCATGATGCCGAACTGTGTTCAGCAGCATTTATTTTTAGTCACATTTAGTATGGTATTCCCATCGTTGCAAAATGTACAGGTAGGACGTATTATTGTTGATTAGGACAAGGCTTTGACCAAAAACATTTAATATGTTGTTATGTGATACAAATCATCGTAAGTACTTCTGAATGCGAATTTAATAGCTTCAATTCTATGTGAAATAAATTACATACTACAGTAATGGTTGGTCAAAGCATTGTTTTAACCAATCAAAATGCGCCCTGCATCTTGCAAAAGAGGGATTACCTTCTCTTGTCAAACCAACTAGTGAATCATGAAAGAGTTGAACATGCAATCAATGAAGCAAAGAAGCTTGTGTTTTTCCTTATTCCATAGTGGAACATGAAGTAGTTTGAGAAATTGTTTATCTTCATACATGTGGCACTTTCAGTAAGCACATGAAGGACTGGACAAGACGTGTCGGAAATGACAGGCATCTCATTTGTATTGAGGACCCATTCGAGACCTCCCATGATCTTGGCCGTGTCGTCGACAAGTTCAGTATCAAGATCCTCCGAGAGGAATTTGAGCGAGCCGCCAATATATTGCAGTATGATCCAAACCCAAGTGTGAAGCTCTTTGAGCCATATGTGCCACGTCCTCCATCTGGGACCCTTGACGAGGAAGGGATTCTTAGTACCGCGGGAGCTATAATATGATGATACTACAAACCTGTATCATGGAACCCCTTTGTTTACATGTTTGTTATGGCTTACCTTAGTTGTGCATAGCTGTACAATAGATGCTTAGTTGTAAAGTAACTAGATGTGGAGGTAGGAGTGTGTACCTGCTATATAAGGGTGTCTATTATCATCAGATCCAGAGTCTTGATTAATTATTTTGCGTGTACAAGGCGATGTTTGGACCAGACGACTGAATATAGATTAGTAAAATAAGTCTGCTGCTGAGAGGAACCTTAGGCTGTGTATCTGCCTTTCAACCACCGTTAGATCTTTTTCTTTTCTAACTAGGTAAATGCCCGTGCGTTGCAACGGGAGCATATATTATTATTCTAATGGTTTAACAACAATCGTATCTCAATGCTACTCTTCTTCTTTGCCCATTCTTCATATCTCCACCTCTGTCAATGACGCGTTCGGCTCTCGATCCCTCCTGCACCCCATCCAAACACACATTTTAATTTTTCTTAGATGACAGTGCCTCATATTTGCTTTCTATATTGGGCATCCAACCAAAGCACGTCCCTGTATTACCAAAAGGATCATATACGCTATATTTGCCACCACAAAAGGGGGAAATAATGCCATGGAAATCGACCAAACCATGGTCACATGAGAAACCATGTTCCAGTAGCTTAAAGTTTAACTGCTTGATTGAGTCATTTATTTCCGTTATCCATTTTCTTTAATCATGGAAGAATAATTAATTTGACCTTGCTTTTTAAGCAGAATCTATTAATTTCGGGAGAAAAAAAATGTACACTATGTTGGCATGCTTCAAGGTAGATTTATAACAGATATTACCAAAATCTGGTAATGTATGTAGATTTGTTCTGGGGATCGAAAAGTAGTAAAATATAAAGAATAAGAGAATCAGCATAGTAATACACATGTATGGAGTTGACATAAGTATTAGCGGTCTATAACTCCAGTATGGAGGCAGCGGCATAATCGAACATTTGTGAGAAGATTGCACAATATTGTCAAGTTTCTTACGGGTCATATTAATTTGACCTTTCTTCTTGGTTTTACATGTTTATAAACTGAAACAACTTGAACATTTGTTTCAAATGCATGGTATTCGATAGTCTACTGGATGCACAACAAAAAGCCACATTATATCGTCAATGCACTTTGATGGTTACCCAAAAAATGTACAATGGTAGTCTGAAATTGCATTGGCGTTCGCATCACTCAGCAAATGCATGTAGGGATCCATTGTTCTGCCAAACAACAAGCACTACATAACACATTAGAACTCTCTCTCTCTCTCTCTCTCCCTCCCTCCCTCTCTTTCTAATTTATCTCATCAGCAACGTAGCATAGAAAATGTCATTTCATCTCTCAGCCTGATATCTTTCTCACTTCCGCTGCTCTATCTCACAACAGTACAGTAGTAGTAGCTGGACGCACAAAAGAATCTCTCTCTCCGCTCTCCCTTCCCATTTCCAACGCAGCGGCGTTCCTGCCCCGCTACAACATCGTGCTGTCCTGCCCCAGGGGCACCCCGTATCCCTGTCGTTCCCCACTCCAACGCCGCCCACTATCCCATGTACCCCGCCGCACCCGTTTGGCACCTACGTGTGCGAGCAAAGGAGTCAAGTACTCCAGCAACCACGCCACCATGTGCAGCAGCGCGGTGGCCTACCTCGGTCGCGTCCTTGTACGAGGAGCAGCCGACCCACAACCCCGTCGGGCTCCTACGGAGGGAGCCGAGCTAAGGGACAGAGGGAGCGAGTTGGGCGGCAACCTTCGTTTGGCGCAGCGGATGGCACCACCAAGGCGAAGCGACGACCTCGTCTAGGGCACATCTTGGAGGCGAGGAGGCTGGACTGTAGCTGCAGGAACGCGATTGCTCCTGTCTACTCGCTCGCCTTGTGGTGTCATGGACAGAAGGTGTCCTCGAAGACAACCAACCGGGCGTTTGCTGCCGCCATACCCATAAACCGAGCCACCCTGGGGCACACTGGAGCAACATGGGAAGAGAGGAAGAATATGGCCACGTCGCCGCTAGATCCACAACAACCACCGATGTCTTCCATCATTGGGAAGAGAGGGACGGAGTCACGAAGAGAGAGTCGCTGGTTCGGAGGGGGGAGCGGCGGCGGCGGCTTCATGAGTGGGGTATGGGAGGTGTACTCGGATGGGTATATGTGGCGGCTGTGCTGGGGCGAGGAGGCTGCGCCTACGACGAAGATGGGAGGGAGGCCGTCGATCAGATCGGACGAGAGATTGTGTCCCGATAATTTAGGACGCGGTGATTGTGCGTAGGAAAAACCGGACGAGAGGACGGACGAAGGGACGACGTAAGAGGGGATACGGAACCTTACGGTTATTTTAAGTAGTAGAGATTTAGGACATCAAACCATGATTATTTTTATTTAACGCTCTGACCTGACAATTGTGTAACTTGTGCGTGTGTGAGCTCTAATAATTGGTCCTAGACTAGGATCTTTAGCGGCGGAGGCGGCCCGCGGCTGGTTGCACCCATGGCTCCCTTGCGGCGGAGGCGGTTGGTTGCGCCCATGGCTCCGTAGTCCCTAGTGGCGGAGGCGGCCGGCGTTCATCGCTTGTACGCGGTCGAGGCCATCGCATCCAGCTTCCGACGACATCCTGCGGGCTGCGGCAATGCTTTCCTCTTACCATTCCGTTCCAAGTTTCGATTTGTTCCTGCTCGGCGTCAACATTTTTTCCCCAAGATTTGTCTCCCGATTTCTTGCTTTCCTTTCAATGTCGGTTCTCTTCGTTCATAACCGAGCACCGAACCGAATTTTCGGTGGACCGAAGTCTCGGTCATTGCTTTTGTAGATCACCGATCGGTCAAGAGAATCAGGAAACCGAATTTGAAAAGTAACCGAAGCACCGACCCGATCGGTTCGGTCTAACCGAATGCCCAGTCCTAGTCCTAGTAGCAGTAGCAGGGGCTATGTGTGTAACTGTGGTAGGGATATCCTCATCCTCCCCTTCTTAAACTGAAGTCGTCCTTGACGGTAACTCATCTCCCTCACCCAATAAGACTTCAAATCTACCCAATAAGGCTTCAAATATGCAATATTAAATTTGGGACTAACCTTAAAATCTGCAGGCAACTTAAGTTTTAATACATTATCATTTATTACATGTGAGACTAACCTTGAAATCTGTAGGCATCTCAAGTTTTTATGCATTATCATTTATTTTCTCTAGCACCTTAAAACGATCATTAGCACGTGGCATAAGCTTAGATTTGTGTAAATCAAGAAACCTATCTTTCAGTAAATGTAACCAAACAAGATCTCTTTCTGGCCTTATCTCCAGCAAGTTTGTATTTATCATTTATGCGCTCAATGTTTTCTTAGTTAACTCATGCATTTTTGAGATTAATTCAACACATTGTTTAACATCAAAATTAACCTGTCACCGAAGATGGAAGATGCAACAAATTAGCGGGTGCACGAGGTGGGAAGCCATATACAATTTGAAAAGGACACATCTTAGTAGTAGAATGCATCAAACGATTATAAGAAAATTCAATATGAGACAAGCATTCTTCCCATATTTTCAGGTTATTCTTTAAAACTGCCTTAAGCATAATGTTCTATTGACTACTTTAATTTGTTCATCAGTTGGGGGTAGTCCTCAATTTAGCCCATAAGCATCTTCAAAAATGACTAAGAAATTTAGTATCACGATATGAAACAATAGTATTTGGCACCCCAGACAAGCGAATAGTTTCATGAAAGAACAAATTAGCAACATTCGCAACATCATCGCTCTTATGACATGGTATGAAGTGTGCCATTTTAGAAAATTGTCCTTCCCTTCTTTGTTCGAGGTAATCCTAAAAAATGTTTATGGATATGTCCTCCCACGGAACGCTAGGTACTGACAAAGGAATATATAAACCATGAGGATAAAATCGTGACTTAATGATGACGTAAAATACCGTCAGATCACTTAGTAGGGTTCATGACGAGGTTGGAAGTACCGGCATGGAGTCTGCACACACAGGTTACCCAGGTTTGGGCCTCCGGAGAGTAATACCCTGTATCATGCTTCTTCGTGTTATTCATGGTGGAGGATACCTCGTGCAGATGATTACAATGATGTATGAGATTGCTACCGAGAGTTTGTTTATCTGAGATTATATGGCCTAGAGGGTTCCCTAACCTCCCTTTATACAGACATAGATGTTTAGAGTTACAGAGTGGTTGATGCAATCTAGGTCGCCGCCGTCCTTGCCTTGAGGAACATGTCACGGTAAGGTCGGTTTCGCTTGTTGCTGGGCCGGGGTCGTTGACCCATATCTTCACTTGGTCTGGCTTGGTTAGGCACCCTCAGGTCATGGCCCCGTCAGTAGCCCCCGAGCGCGGTAGAGATCGCAAACGTTAGCTTCGAGATCTTCCCAGGGCCTCCCATCCGTAACGCGGGCCTCATCGTCTTCTTCCCGTCGTCATCGCCCCATTGCCGGGGCGAGGTCGCTCCTGGGCCGGCTCTGGCCCAAGTTCTCTGTTGGGCGGCCCCGAGTCAACAAGAGTTGGCCCATAGCTGACGCTTCGGGTGTTGCTGTTGTCGTGGCTAAGATTGAAGCGCCCCTCTCATTAATTACGAGAACATGGGGCGGTGTTCTGGCCGTTCGTTCTTCTTCCTCAAAAAGCTTCCTCCCTCCATTGCCAGACTCGAAGAACCAATCATCGAGAGAGAGATGGCCGCTCCTTCTGTGTCTTCCGGGGAGGGCCCCGGCCCGGAAGATCCATCAGGTGCAGAATCGCAGCCCCCGTCGTGCCTAAACAATCCGCCCGAGTGAATCAGCGACTGGAAGCGCTCATCCATTTCCCAGTCTCCTTTGAAACAGTTGGTGAAGATGGGCTGACTTCCGGAGTTCACTGAAATGGCTTGGATGGCGCCTCGACAGAGGGATGCAGTCCCGCGACCGCTAAGTTGGGACCAGGTAGTGGTGGCATTTATCCACCGCGGGCTGCGACTTCGTTTGAGCCCTT